AGTATATTTTTTATTATGAAGCGGCAGACGCTCTTCTCGTTTTAGTGTTTATAACATGCATAAAAAACACGTGCGCCGATTTGTCTGGCGCTGAATGTTAGAATTCTGATCTGTGGGCGAAGGAGTAAAAAAAAAAGAGTGGAAGAGATACGAGAAATTGAGAAAAAGAGAATAAAGATAGAACAACAAACAAGAAATGGGCAAAGAGAAAGGTATAGAAAGGAACATTCTTAAAAATTGAGAAAAAAGAGAAAATTCAATACAGAAAAAGGAATAAATACAGAATGAGAAAGACTCAAAGAAAGTAAGAGAAGGAAAGAGAGAGAAAGAAAAAGGAAGCGACAATAAAATAGAGAGGGAGAGAGAAATAAATTGAAAGAAAGAGATAGAAAGAAAAGGAAGCAAGAATAAAATAGAGAGTGAGAGAGAAATACATACAAACAGAAACAAAGAATACAGTGAAAAAATTGACAGAAAGTGGAAGGGAAGAAACGAAAATAAACGTGGTGCCCTCAATCTTCGCCTTTAGAAGTCGGACACGACAGCAATATCCTGCCTCTATTGCGTGCTTCAAACCCGCATAATATTTTTTGTATGACGTTACTCGAGAAGCTTATATTGTGGAATACTGCAACGTAATTCATAAAGCTGAAAGTGACTTGTGTCAGTGAAGCTTTCACAAAAGGCTCCATTCATGTAATCGGTAGCATGTTTTAAACCCACAAGCAATAATGCGCGTGATATGTTTTCGAACCGAACTTGCTATGCACTCACTACATGGTCATAAGGAAATATGCGTATTAACGGGTTTACTTTTTGTAAAGGGTGGACGGCTTTAAGCCCCGAATACGTAATGATAATCGCATGCCGTGACGCCTGATGACAATGTACGCGTGTACGATGCAGTTTTACTACGTTATATTATGTTTTATTGTGAATTTGTATAGAGTACACGTGTGTTTGTAAAGTATGAGAGTTACTTGCAGTTATTAAAGTTACTTTCACTCTGTTTCTAAGCAGCTGCACGGCTTTATGGTAGAACCCCTGCTTGCAAAGCAAACGGCCTGTGTTCGGAGCTCGCTAGGACCCAGGTTTCTTATTTAATTTGTATTATTTGCATCTATAATGATTTTTTAGCCCGGGTAAAAATAATTTTTTGCTCACAACCAACGACGCCCACACCAATGCCCCCACCGGAATTTCTGCGAAACGAACTCTTTAATTTTGTTGCTTTAAAGTAAAGAGAAGCACAGCAGGCCTAGCTCTCTGCTCCGCACCTCCTGAGTCTGGCGCCACTAGTGCGAACTTGCCTCAATTTTTTTTTCGCTTTATTGAAGACATGCATATAGTAAGGAACAAAACCATTGTGACTTCACCATATTGTTACCATTTTTATAACATCGATTTATTCGCAAACATTTGAGCAGTTGGGTGATACCGGTTCGCCGATTGCGTGAACGCGAGTGGCATGTTCGGTGCATCATACGGAGGCCCAAACATCAACCACGCAAACACATTATTATTATGGGATTCACACGTACTTCGCCTTTAGTTGCGTAACTGTAAATGTTCTGGCTTTTTGAAGACTTTCAAAGCAAGTATGCTCGTTTAAATACAGGAAAATTTGTATTGTAGTGGTAAAACGAAGACAAGTTCAGTATGAACTTCGCCCTGCGTGTTACACAATGCAGAACAACACAAGGTAAGAAAACTGTAAGAAAACACTTGCCGTTATTTGAGCTCTGGCAATTATAAAAAAAACGCATATGTACTGTGGACTTTTGTGGCGATTATTTTACGTGGGCCCGGAGTGGACGACAACTCGAAAATGTTCCCGTAAAGCGTTGCCAGCTAGATGTCAGTGTTCTGACTTCATCGATAGAAAGTTTGCCATCGGCAGCACAATTGTATACACACCGCATTGCTCGCTTTGAGAGCAAATGACACCATATTGGGGCCGAACACAGAGCTTTCGAATATTCACGCTGCCTAATGGCTGAGAATCATGGAAGCCTCCAAATCGCTGCTATTATATTGGTAAATAGAATTCGATTGTGTGAGGTCACAGTCTTGAGTTGCACGTGTATTGAGATTTTCCGTCAGAAGATAGAAATTCTCTTTTTTAGGGGTGGACATATTGAGATAGAAGGAGGGAAGAGAAGAAATGGCATGTTTGTTTATGAATTTCACATTGTCTCACTTCCTAAGTTTCTACACACATTCATATTTCATTTCTTGTTGCGCATTTGCGTCATCTGTGAAGAGCATAGCAAACGCGTAGCAACGGCGCTTGAGTTTTACTGACGGCACCATTTATAGTGGGTAATCTTTAAAACAACTCGGCTTCATTTTAACGTAAGCAGGTGGAAGGAGGCATGGCTCGCGGGCGTTGCGCACACACAGCTGCTATTTATTGGTTCCGCAGGTGCGCATTTCAAAGAAGTCAATCAGAGTAGCGGGTGGTCTATTGAAAAACGATGGGAGGTGAACAAGAGTGGTGGACGGTTAAGCAGAGCGCTGGGCAGCGTTTCCACCGTGAGGCAATCTCTTGGTTCACGTAAGTATTGCTTATTAGAAATGCAGTTTTCGCGAAACTTTTTGTTCAAGGACACGAAGACGGATAGCCTGCACATTAGACGATCTGATCAAGCGTTCATGAAGGCGCGAGTTTGTGGTGGTTATTTACGTTAGGCTATTACCTTGGCTTCCCCACCGGAACACCTTACCATGCTCGAGTAGAGACAAATCATCCTCATGAAAAGCGCTGGTTCTCGCTTGTTGCGAAAGCAGACACTCAAAGATAAAAAAAAGACATCACACTCTCACGTAACCGTGCTTCATTATTTCAATTATCCGTGGTCTTCGTTATATCAAAGTGACTCGAATGGACCTTCACCGCGGTGTCTTACAAAACACCGTTTAAAGCTAATTATATGCTTCAAAATGTAACGCTGGTGTTAGTGACTTGTTGGCAAACTTGCCTTAGGCAGGCTTGATTTTGGGAAAGCAATCACGTTATTATGGCTATAAAGCGTTTTAAAAGAGCGAAAGAACAACCAGTGGTCGCACAATGCGAATAGCATAACGGGTGGACCATACAATGGTCCAACCCAATACAAAAGCTTGTTATTGCTTCACTGGTTCACTACTTCATTTGTGATTTATTGTTCATTTGCCTCTTACTTTTTATGCTACATCTTTTTTGTTGTTTTTAGTCACTATGTTATTGTGTTTTTCTCTGGTACTTTGTATTCCTTTTTTTGTCATTCTTGATATCCGGTATGTCTTCCTTTCTCTTCTTGTGTAGTTTTTGTAGCTATATTTATGCACCAAAGTACATAATTTGATTCTTCTATTTTATTATCCACTGCCATTCTCTGATAATTGATTTTCTTTTTATCTTGCGTCGTATTTTCCTGAACAGATGTATAAATATATTTCCTTTGTTACAGTTTGTGCTTGATTACCTACACTATTCTATTCTCTTTTGTAATATTATTTTTTGCTTTATATTTCGTTGTATTATACATAACTTTTGCATGTATTATTCTACCTTAGCACCTCCCCTTTATATTGCTTCTTGTAAGCCGTGAAGGTATGAATAAATAAATAAATAAACAAATAAATAAATAAATATTTTAACCGTGGTGCATGCCCACTTCAGTCATAATTCCTCATCGTCGTCGGCCACTGCATAAACAATTGGCACAAAATTCCCTGCAAGTATTTAGCGGATACCACACTTCGCAGAAGAATGTCGAAAAATAGCATGCTAACCCAAAAAACTTATTATCAATGCTCCCGTGGGTAACAATCAAGTGTGCTTGCAGTAGTTACCCAATGAGTGTTTTTAAAAGGCTCTGGAAGGCCACTCTTCTAGCTTTCGCTGTGACTGTGCTGCGCCTTCCGCACAGGCGTGGCGTTTTTTTAATTACTATTAGATATAAAAGACACATACATAAGGCAAAATACTAATAAAGAAATGGTAAAATAAGTCGGGTTTGTTTGAATGTTAAGGCGGGGAACAAAAAGGACATCATGATTTTCTTGTGTGAAGTTGCAAGGCGGGCTAGTTGGTAAGGCATACTTGAATACCAATGGTAGCGCATGGAAGCGGGACACACACACACAAACACACACACACACACACACACACACACACACACACACGCGCGCGCGCGCACACACACACGCACACACGCACACACACACGCACGCACACACGCGCGCGCACACACACACACACACACACACACACACACACACACACACACACACACACAGGTAGCGCTGTCTGTGTGTGTCTCCATGTTATTTCTTGTTTCACGTTTCCTTGCGCTACCATTGTCATTAAAGATACTTGTATTGCAGAGTCATTCCATAAAGGTTTTCTGTGAAGTGAACCTAGAAAATTGTTGTGACAAAATGTCTTTATGTTTGCCTTCTGGCCATTTTCACTTCGTTATGAATGTTTGATCTTCACAAGCACACTTCAATGTAGTAATAGGCCTACAGCATATGGTTGCTTGCTTTAAGCTTAAAAAGTGATGCACTGTACGCGATGTGGTAGGCGTAGTATGGATAAAGACTGATTAATGAAGTCTTGGTTCCGAATAAATGTTGCCTCGTCGAGAAAAAGCAATGGCAAAAACGGAACAGACGACCACTAGCGTAAAACCACTCTTTCTTTCAACACTAGCATTTCGACCTCCAAGAGTTTTAGCACTATGACGGAATGATCACATCTCCACACCGAGAACTTACCAGCAGCATGGTAAGTCAAAAGCAATCTGGCTAATTTGTGTGATACTTCAAACCACTACGCTATGCCACAAAACTATTGACAACGTTCATGTGTTCTTTGTTATAAGGTGTACATAAAGCCAGAAAACTTCAAACCAAGTTTTATACACGATCGCAGCCATACCCATAAATTTACGCCAATTTAAATAATGTTGCGCTTACCAGCACCCAATAAATCAGTGCAATTTACACAGTTCTCGATTGCCACAAAACTTTTGTTGTATTGTTTATTCACTCTGCGTTTGATATATCATGAATATAGAGAGAACATGACCTTGTAAGCCGACAATTGAGAACAATACGTGTGTAATTGATCTCTGGTATCAATACAACAGTGCCATTGCTGTGCAAATGCTAAAGAAAGTGAGTATATCTTCATTCATACTGCCGTAAGCGCATGGAGGCCGGTAGTGCGTCATGTCACTCCCGAGTTAATTATCGTACCTTTGTCGTGGTTCTCACTAAATAAACTAGCCAGACAGTGGCTGCTGCCACAGCTCAAGGTTAACAGCAATGAAGCAACTAGCATGTGTTCAGATGCTCCTTGAGCGTGGTGTAAATGAAACTTTGAGTCCATTCAGAGGCCTCAACACAAGTTCACATGCCAACATCAGCTGGTCCCGCTGATCAACGGCCTCCAGGGTGAAGCGCCGAAGAATGGTGGCGACGATGATTTTAACTTCCATCAAAGCGTACCTCTGACCTGCAAAATAAAAAGAAATCCACACTGGAGCTTACCGAAGAGCTATCGGTCAGTGGTTTTATAAAACCACCTTACTTCCTTTTCTTCGGCCAAAGTACCATTATTCTGATTGCGGCCACACTCCATGACGTCGAAAAATTCGCATGCTATACCCATATTGGCTACACGGAGACCTTGAAATCATGGCTCCAAGTTGAGTAAGCAGGTGAAAGTCCGGTCTTTTATAGCTTGATAACTTTAAGTTTTGATAGATGACTTCGACTTACTCATTCATTTAATGCATGCCCTGCAAATTGTTTAAACGAGACTATTTCTTTTAAAAGCATAGCGGATGAAGGTGTCAAACAATAAAGCGAAAAGAAAGCTCGCGACAGATACGACAAGGCACACAGCTCAGTGTCTACGCAAAGCGAAGAGGTAAGCATGTTCCGCTGCACGCAATGAAAGGGTGAACTATTTGGCAGAGATAGTGGTAAAGGTGTTAAAACTGGCGTGTCTGGTGCAGGTACATGAGGTTATTTGGGAATATTATGCGGATTACTTGAAATGTAGAGTGCCATTGCTAAGGGTTCCCTAGACCAAGATACTTTCTGAGAACGCAGATACACAAAGAGAAGTGGTACATAGAATTTGCCGAGAAAGGCAATATAAGATGCACTCACGTCCAATCAGCAGTGAGCGCTATTTCAAGAAAGTATAATATTAATATAACCAAGTGTTGCGTATAACGTCCCAAAACCAGCGTGTGAATATAAAAGACGCCGTAGTGTACGGCTCCGGATATTTCGACCACATGGGGTGCTTTAACGTGCACCTAAACCTAAGCATGCCCACGGGCCTCCAGCATTTTCGCCGCCATCGAAAATGCGGACGCCGCCTTTTTTCGAGAAAGGAGCGCAAACGAACAGACTTCCCTTCAGTAGCCAGTTGGACCATTGCCCCTGCGGTGATCCACTAGGATCTGGCCAGTGTTAGAAAGAGATGCGGGTACATATAATCACTTGGTAGTGATAGAAATGAAAAAAGGGAAGTGTTTCATCTTAAATCCAGCTGAGGGTCAGGCTGGTTGGTAACCAAAACAGTATATGTAGCCTTTCCAAGCAGTGGACGAGTTCGTGTGTATGAAATAGCAGTCGTCCATTTTTGGTGGGCCGCGAACAAATCATGCACTGTTAACTTTCTGGAAGCCTACCCATTTCATGAAGCCTGTCACGTTCGCGCACATGCACTTGCATACAACGCGGGCGTAGTTGACGGAGAGAGATGACGATTCATTGCACGCCAGTTGAAACTGAAGGGGCCGCAAGTCGCAACTCACGACGCTGGCGGCGCATAGGTGCCATGCACTGCCGCGCCCCCTGTAGGTGCTGCACGTTTTCCGAGCTACACGAAAATAGTGTGCATGTTCATTTCATGCTTCAGCTCCACTTTTCGGCATTCGATTTTCGATTTGGCAAAAGTAAGTGGAAATGATTGATCAATGCAATGATAATTTATTTCTTCATAATTTTACTTTTTCCACGCTGACGAATGCTCCTTTAACGTGTGCTTTCGTCTCGCATAAAGCGACGTAAAATATAATATTTTAAAAAAATTTCCAAGGAGCCGTGCACGGTATCTGAAATGACCATCCCAAGGCGAAGGTGTATGGAACACCTTCCACGGCTGATAACCTAAAAGAGGGATCGTAAATCGAGAGTCTCGCTTCCTGTTAGACGCTACTCCATGAGGTCAACAGGCTATAAAGCCAATGAAAGCCTGGGGGCAGTTACTTTGTAATTTTTAATTGAATTGAAGTTATATATAAACCAAACGGAAGAGATTGTGGATGACCAAACAACTTGCCGTTGACGCGGGGATACAAATCAATAACATCCGCATTGAACATGCAGGCTGACGATTTCGCCACGGCGATGACCATTGGCTCATTCACTTTCCGAAGTAATATTTATAAACATGTGTGTGCTACGCAGGAAGTGTTTTCCATGAACACATGATGCTCTTCAGTGCTTCACGGCTTGTAATATCATTTAAATAGTGATACCTTCACATCGTCAAGCTCTGCTGCAGTCTAAATGCTGCCAACAATTTCATGCTACCCAGAAAAGTAAAAAGAAAAGTAAAAGTAAAAGTAAAAGTAAAAGTAAAAAGAAAATTTCTTCATTCTAGTGCCACTGATCAAGCTAATTTTCTGGTTGAAAAATAACTATGGTTATAATTTCGAAAACGTGGCTAATACACCCAGTGGCCTGCGGTTGCGAAGTAATAATTTTTGTGAAGTAATAAAATTGATAGGTAGATATACCTTGCGAAACGCTAACACTAGGACGCATTGAGAGGCATAACAAAAGGAAGAGTGGAATATTGAAGCTTGCGATCAAAACATTTTGGAAATGAGGGTTGTGTAGTGGAGCCGACGTTTCGAAATTCTGACTCTTTTTCGAGGCTGCAACTAAAAGTCCAGTTTTATTCATGGACAAGACAAGTCCCTTTGTTGAAACGTTGGTACAAATCCTTCACTTATGAGTTTTCTTTACAATATAGAGTAACTTTGTGCGCTCTGCTATGAATAATAAGGTAGAAAGGGAAGAAAAAAAGGAAAACGATAATTATAGGGAGCATGTGTATTGTCTAATGATTCACGAGTGTTTTGGTTTGGCATAGTGATGGTTGGTATGTTCCCGTGCATGTCTATTCAACGGAGGAGGAGGAGGTAGAGGAAGGAAAGGCAGGAAGGCCAACCAGGTGAGCGTCCGGTTTGCTATCCTACACTGGGGAAGGGGACGGAGAGATAAAAAGAGAGAGATAGAAAAATAGAAGATAAAAATACAGGTGAGCTAAAACTAGACTGCTGCGTAGTTTGATAGCAGTGGACGCAGGACTTAAGGCGTATCACGTTCCACTTTGAGTCGTCGGTTCATGGTGCCTACTGAAGGCTTGCAAGCACTGGACGTAGAACATTCAGTACCTGTTGTGCGGCTTCAGTGTGTGGCGATTTCGGCCTGCCGACGAACACTTGACGTGTGTCGAGCAGTGATCGAAGAACTATTAGAATAGGTTTGTCTTTTGGCGTGGCCAAGGTGTGCTGTAGATAAGCATATCGCTGCGACTTCAGCTATTGCCGGAGGCCAAACTGTGTCAGTTGTGTCCTTGTTAGTGACAACTATCGCTCATTGATATGAATGCGGCTTTGGCAATGTACGCACAGTGGAATCCGCAGAAACCACGCTTTTCTCTGCATTTTGCTGCGTACCAGCCGAGTACAATCCGGGTGGAGAAGGAGATGGTGAAGCAGGGTGTCAAATGGGCGCTGCGGATGCAGGGTCATTGGATTTTCCTGATGAATGTCGGCGTCGATGGCGCCGAATTCTTACGGTTGCCGTGACCTCGCGATGCGATATATGGTCTCTCGTCATTCGCCTCAACACAGCTGTCTTTTTTTTTAATTTTTGGACTGTTTTTTGAGGACACTTCGCGAGGTTCGTTTGAATTGGAACACTTGAGAACAGTGGCTTTACAAGTGGCCGCGGAATGAGTTTCAGCACTGAGTAGTATTGAAAATTAGGCAAGTTGGTAACGTTTTATTGTTCAAGGTATACAGCGCTCGTCCTGGGTCTTTCTATTTATATGTCTTCTGTTTTCGTGCTGTTTACCTTCAATTTTAGCACAGCGAGAGCATACTCGCTTGCCTTTGCATACGCTTCATGCAGTTGAGGCACTGCAGCGGCTTCAGCACATACGGTCTTACAGAGTGTCTGTAGTGGCCCACCTTAACGTGCGAAGGTAGAGAGTTGCCTCTAAAATCTATTTTCACGCAGCGTGAGCTACGCAAACGAAAAACCTTGTTGATGTCCCGTCACCTGACAGGTGAGGGGCCATCAGCGATGTACAAGGATCATTTCTGATATCTACCAAGTCCTCCAGCGACCATGACGGCCACGACCACGAAACGTACGGGATCCGACTGTGACAGCAAGGACACTGATGTCTACTCACTGACAGGTGAGAGGCCATCTGACGATGGCTTCGAAGTTGTAACGAGCCGAAAGATGAAAAGACGTAATTCCAGGACCTCTTCATCCCCGAACACACCGAATGAACGAGCTCCGCGAGGGACAGATGCCAACACCATCATCTTCGTTCCTACTGAGTCCAACGGCAACATGAAGCGCTTCAACGGGCAATCTGTTTCGGCGCGGATCGAGCGACTAGTGCCCACATGAAATTATTCAAATCAGACTGAACCCGCGTAAGAATTTCATGGCAATTGATGTTTTGCATGCTATCGCACTGAACGGTCTACGCAACGTCACAGAGATGGGTGGTATAAACGTCCACTCCTACATACCGATTAGCCCGAGCATCGTCACCGGTGTGATTTACGACGTTGACGCAGCCATTTCGTAACGAAGGAAGTACAAGGCCTTACCTATGCAGTTCCTGGGACCCGCAGAGAAGGGCACATACGCGTACGGGTGCCGGTGTACAACGTTCTCCGGTAGAAACCTGTCGGGGTCGAAGACTTCGGGATCTGGAAACACACTTGGGTCTCTATGAAGAGCGTATATGAAAATATCAACGTCACTGTCCGCTGGAACAACGTGTTTACCTGCACGGAGGAAATATTACGCTCGGTTATTCGTAACTAGAAAATCATTTAAAACTTATGCAAACCGACTAGAAATATTCCACCTAAGCATGTAGAAATACTGAACATTTAATTTAGATAAATATATTGCTACATGCCTATACGACTTATCAAAGAGAAGTTCTCAGAATAGTAATATTTATTGGTATATTCCTATTCTATATTTGTAAACACGGTAGGCACTGAGTGACGTCACGGCGTGTTGGCTCCGCCTAGTCGTCTAGGCTGAAAGCGCGCCACCAGCCACTATTACGCGCGATGACGAGCGGAGCAGGTGCGCAAACTGCCTTCGAGAGCAGCGCGTCGGGACGCCTCTCACATGTTTACAAGCGGCGTCCGCAACACAGGAAGTTGCAGTCACTGTAGAGGGGTTCTGAAATGAACATGTGAGCTATTTTGACGTGTATCTCTGGCTTTGAGCACCTCATGAAACATATGAGTTACCTTAACTGCGGAAATGTAGCTCATTCGCAAAATATCATCGTCCTTGCTGCAGCCTACGTCACACGTGTACACTTTAATTTGTACTAATGCAAGGACACACTCAATTCAGCAAGAGGCTCTAGAGTACAATGTGCAAATGCGCAGTGTAAAAATACGTGGCCATGAATTTCATGGCAACTCCTCTTATATAATAAATGTGCCAGAGAAGTTATTCATGCAAATGACCAGAGCGACCTCAGTGACACTTTCATCCAATTTTTTCGTACCGCACTAGCAAATATTGTTTACCCAGGAACCTAACAAGCCTGTACTGATTCAATCAATTTCGTATTTGACCTGTATCTTTGTAACCACTCTCCTCTTTATTGCCTCTGGCCTTGAGGGTGAATGGAAATAAATACATAAATAAATCCGTAACACGCTTGCGATAACGCTTCAACAACATGCTGTGGACAATGCGGTTACATACTTGTAATGTCCGCGGCTCAATTCGTACGCTCAAGCCGACGCTGCGAAATGCGTACGACTGGGCAAGTTTCTTGCATGATAGTTTTCTGTGAATTCACACAGACGTGAAAATTTAGTGAAGCACACCAGAGCCAAAATGGGCATTTGTTTCAGGTGTGTCATCACAGTTGCGTATAATAATAAAAACCATATCTAAGTCACTCTTTCGTTCGAAGCTAATTTAGTGAACCATACCTACGCAGAAAGAAACACATGCTCGATCGTTGGCTCGATGACAGAGGGACACCTTTGGTTCTCGTCAGTATGGCGATATTATTTTGAAGTGTCGAAGACTTTTGCAGTTATATCAAGAATGGCAACCGCAAAAAATGTCATTGTCATATGGCCCTACGGTCATATGACAATGCTATTAAGAAAGTTAACGTGCGTTGAGGTAAACGTGCTTGAAACGCCTCCACGGTTATTAAAAAGCGTAATTACATGGCTTATTTCAATGCTTGAAAGAGCTAATTGCTTTTCAGGGGTAAGCCGCTCCAAAACACAACCGGTAAAGTGGCGTCGAAGGCAAGTTCTCGCGTTTCACAGCTGCGGCTAATTGGCGAAGGTTTTCGTCAACAGAAAAAAAAAGACCTGGTCCATCTTTCTTGTGCCTTTCCGTGCAAAGCACCGTTAAAGTTCGTTAAAGTACTGTGGTAGGCTCCGCGGCTTTTGCCTACCAAGCGAAACCAAACGCTCGACAACAGCACCACCGCATTTTCGTGGCGTGTTTCCGGCGAAATTTGTCTATAGGGAGCAGTTATTCTTCCTTGTAGAACTAAGGCGAGGCGGCCTGCAGCATGGATGATTTAGCCATTAATATCCCACTGTTTATATTGTCAAACTTTGTTTGGTGGCGTTTTGTCGCCTATGAAACAGCACATGGTTTGAACAATCTCTTGCATGATACGTGCTTCAGGAAATAAAAAGTGCCTGAAAAGAGCAGGGGTTAGGAAAAATTAAAGCAAGTGCATATCTTTGCCCTCCCAAATGTTATACAGTAATGGCTAGTTAGTTCACATTACACAATACCATCAAAACCATCCAAATCAACCATAAACCGAATTAACAAAAGTGTTCATTCAACAATGAAGCACACATTTTTGTTACGTCAAACCGTAAACCCAGTTACTATTCAGCATTAGAGCAGTGCGAAAGCGACAATATTCTTTATTTGCGATATTTTTCACGACGTGATAATATTATTATCTGTTGTTTTGCATCCTAAAATGACAATATGAATATGAGAGACGCCGTAGGGGACAGCTCTGGAAATCGTGACCGTCTGGTGTTTCTTAACGTGCACTGACATCGCACAGTAGACAGGCCTCGAGCATTGCGCTTCCATTGTTCACAATGTGAACTTGGCCGCAAGAAGCTGGAACGTATAGCACTTCAGTGCACATGGGAACTATGCGTACGACATCGATTTGCCTAGCCTTCGTACAATACGTTTGTTCTGGCTTCGCGTGGCTTGAAGCTGCTTTGTCACGAAACAACAAGTGGCAAATGCTCAGCAGGTACGCTTCACCACCCTAATATTTTAGGCTTACCACTTCAAAACGGATAACGAAGTGAACAACGGTTTGTTCTTTCCTTCGAAACAAAACCAAAACGCAGCAATAAACGAAGCCACAAGGGTGTCTGCCGCCCGCAAGCACGAAGACTAGGCAAATCTATGTATGTCATACACATGATTCCCACGGTCGCTGAACGATTGCAGCGCCAGCGTCCCCTCTTAGGAAACTGAGTTATGTACCAACAACGTGGTCGTACATGGCGACAACGCCTTCCTGAAAGCCCACGGCCGCTCCACCTTTCTGCCAATACCTTTTACATCCGCTTGCGCCGCATCATTGCGGCGCTTTGTGCTTGGTGTGCTTCGTGGATTGTCCGACATAACCGTGTTGCAGCCACATATGACCGAATTAACAGGAGTCTCATGCTATGCAACATAGAATATGCCAGCAGGAACTAACGAATATATCTGGACTATCCGATATTCCTTGTCAATTGAGGTCGAATTTATGAGATTTTGCTCTGTTTAAGCAGTATACTGCCCAAACACAGCAAAAGCTGATTATTTATCGTTAAGTGTTGATACGCTATACTGTATCAACACTTGTTTCTATTCAATTGAATGTATGTTTTGATCTTGCTAGGACTCGTGCTTTTATTTTTTATATGTGAATAAATGTAAGACGGTGTTAATATGGGTGTGGGGGTAATAGTAATAACATTATTATTAGTATATTATTATTATTATTATTATTATTATTATTATTATTATTATTATTATTATTATTATTATTATTATTATATTATTATTATTATTATTATTATTATTATAATTAACAGATGAACGGTAGATCAGGTCCGCTGTCACAGCTGCTGTGAACATGAGTAAAGCTGTGCACACGTACAAGTCACTACATCACTTCAATCTATCCGATATAGAGTTACACAACGAAAACCGACCAGATGGTAACCTTTTATATAAGAATTCTCGGTCATTCTTAACATAACATTTCCACGCTGAATTTCTACTCACTGATAAATTTTATGGCGAAATCAATGGCATAATTTTTCTGAACATCGGCTGAATGGCGATTGAGCACAAATCCCTCAATCCGCCCTTACCTCCTCAAACTATTTGACACGCCAACCTCTCTCGATAGCCTATTACGGTCCTTTCTTTTTCTCGCCTCCTTCCTCCATTATTTTTCGATCTTGCTCTTCTCGTAACCCACTTGTGTGGTCGGGCAAGAGGGAGCAAAGTGCAGACGTAATACATGCTGATAACGAATGCATGTGTGTCTTTGACGGCCACAGTTCCCGTGTTCAAAAGCGTGACTCAATCGATAGTCACTGATTAACAGTTTCTCATCGCTTCAGTTTGCGAATAAATGCAATTCGTACACACACAATGCAGCACATGGCTCGTGTTCGGGGCAGGAAGTCAACTTACCTAAGCTAATATCTTCGGATGTCGCTCTTCCGATGACCGGAACTGATGGAAATAGGCGTTGGCACTCCTTTAAAGAAGGTAATTTACTCCTTCGTCAGTCCAATGGTTTTGTATTTAAATTCCCACCTACCTTGAGCACACGGTCAAAGTACTTGAGTTCCTTAATTTTTTCTAAGGTTATATCAGCATCGAGGTCACTTTGTAGGACGCTATCCAATTCTTTGTGAATTTTCGCTTGAACGTGGTGGTGTGATGCAATCATATACAGTGACCAAGCAATGCCCATGGCAGTTGTGTCGTGTCCCTGCAATGCATGACAGGCGTCAGAGCTTGTGTGATATTGTTTTTTTTTTGTTCTTCACATAAACTCTGAAAGCCCAGTCAGGCAATATATGGAGGGGTTTTATTTGTACAATGAATTTGCAAATCAAACATCGTTATTGTGTAATTAAAATGGTAAACAAAGTAAAATACAGTTCCGCAGACAAAGATGCAAAATGGTAAAAATTGGTGACATGAATGAAAACTAAATAAGAGGGAAATGGCTATAGTGCGAAAAAGTATGAATAAATATACAGAAAATTGCCATAAAATTCAATAACAATGAAAGAAGAATTTAAATAAACACATACATGCACATAGTAACACGCATAAATAGGTAATTATTATGTCCAAGAAAATATACAACTTGTTTACAAAAGCGGCATGATCAATGATTGAAGCGGTGTCCCCCGGTAGTGTGTTACAGTGATGTGTGGCTCGAAGTAATGGCGATTGTTGATACATGTTTGTGCGTGAAATGAAAGGCTGTATTTTGAATTGGTGATCAATACGTTTGGAAATATAGAGTGTGTTTATGGGGGCTTCTCGAAAGCAAGAATTACTATGATAAAATGTTTAAAATTGTGACAACAGTGATGAACGTCTGTGTTTTTAAAAGGGGGTATAATGAAAGTGAATGCTTAATATATGTAATGCTGTAGTTTGAAAAATACTGCTTGGGCATACATCTTGCCGCTATATTTTGTATTAATTCTAGTTAATTGATTATATATGAGTGATGTGGGTTCCAGATGATGGATGTATATTCACTCAATCTTTGAACGGACAAGTGTAATGTACGCTAGCATTTTAGTGGTAGAGTTCGTCAAGTACAGGTTTCTTTTAATAAATCCAAGTGTTTTTCATGCCTTACTAGTTATGCTTTCTATGTGTTCATCCCACGATAGCTCATGCAGATGATAAAAGAATTCTGAGGTATTTAAACATAGAAAGATTTTCAATGAGGACACCTCGAATTTTATATTGGTTCAGTTCTGTTTTACATGCTATGGCAAATGTCATGACCTTAGTTTGAAAGGTGTTAATTCGCATTTGCCGCTGGTCACACCAAAGGGCGAGTTTATTAAGATTGGACTGTAATGATTCGTAACCTGAAGTGATACTCAAAGCCGTTCTCCTCACAACGAAATGAGCAAAAAAATCGTAGTATTCGTGGTTCAAGCTTTAAAGGCCGTGAATTGTATTTATTGCAATGCAGACTGTCGTCTCAATTTCTCTCTTGTATATACTGCAGAACGCGTGATGAAACTCCAGGGATGAACATTCTAGCATCAATCGCAGTTCACAATAGGACTATCTTATTTAGCGCGTAACTCGAGTATAATAATTAGTGCCCTCACTATGATTGCACCAAACTTTGGTGATTGACTTTACTGTAAATATTGTGCCAGCATTACTGTGCACTGCCACTGCCAGCAAACTTACGGCTATTCAAACTGCTTAAATATATATTGCTTTACTCTTTTGTGCCACACCAGGGAAAGCCTGAACGGAATAATGGTTCTTTTCGGGAGTAAATATGTGCTTGTCACAAGCAAGATCACCTCAGATAAAATATGTTCCGATGTGATAGAGCACTTACATCAAATAGTTTTAAGGGTTTCTAAAAGGCATATCATCTTTGAGAGAACCACCACGCTCTTCACTCCGTGTCTTTAGGGGATACGTAAGTCATATTAAGCCGATGTTGATTGCTGAAATAATTGTTCAGAAGCCTCGTAGTGCTACTTTTGTGACGAGGAAGTACTTTTTTTATAATAAAAGCACCTTTCAGTGGTCCGCATTGGTTGGCACACTTCAAATTACTCTTTCGAGTGGAACCGTTCATGTCGCTTTTGCCGTACACAAAGTTTCCCAGCTTTAATGTACGGACACTGACGCTATAGTAGCAGCAGAACAAAAATAGCGGGAGCCACAGCCGTAACAACGGCTATTTAACAATTCTCTGCCATTACCACCAGAAGGCAGGCGTGCTTGCTTCAAGTGGGCCCCACTAGATGGCACGACCTGTCCAGGTTAACCAGGCAAAAATAGCACTTTTGAACCACTCGCGCCATTCCCCCTAGTGATGTCAGGCGGTTATTTTTTATGAATGAAACAGAAATGGACAAGAAGTATTTTATTACGTCTTTTGATGCATGCAAGGTTCTGTTATTTAGTGCAGCTAGTTTGATTACTAGTTAATAATTGTAGGTGGTAAGTTTGACGTCATGGGGGTTATCTTGCGAATGTCCTACTCGCGGCGCATGTGTTCTCGTGTATTTACATTAATTTGTCAGTATGTGGGTTCTGCTGTTGATGATATTGTCATTTTAGATGTTTTCGCACACTTTGCTTTCACTATGACTTAAGGGGAGATGCGGGTCGAAAAACGCAATTTTTTTTTTCAAAATTACCGATGTTTTATTTTCACCAATTTTGATAAGATTAGTACCTCTACTGTTATGAAAAAATAATACAGGTCGAGACATAACTGGAAATGCTTTAAAATTTAATCTATAAAGCACAAGGCGCCTGTTAAAAGGTCAAATGTGCGCAGTCTTCGAGCACCTTGTCGCCGATAATGCGCCGCCGCTAGCCATTGTTGATCGCATGAGTCGAAGAGTCCAGTCTCACTCTTCAAATAACAACAGTTTCTCTCACTGATTCAGCGCAAGAAATAATAAAAAGACTAACTCTTCTGCGCGTTTTTCGAGCACCGCGACTGGCGTATCCCATGGTACGAATAGGGGACCGCCATTGGCCGCTGTGGGCCTGTATGGGCTGTGAAACCTATTTGCGGGGTCCATGTCTCGTCGAGCAGCGCAGCTGAACAATGCTTTTCTCGTGTAATTATCTTCGTTATGAATGAAAAAAGGCATGGCTCGCAAGTGAAAGCCGTTGTGCGGCATGCTCTGAAGGAATATAGGCTACGACGTCAGCGCCAATCTTGAGAGGTCGAAACAGCTCGCAGTGAGAGAACTTAGCAGGGAAGACATTGCCATTATGTATACCACGGTATGTGGCACAAACATGGCTGCAATATGGCATGACACTGCCCTTAGTTTGGATTTCGCAGTCCTGTCGAACTTCTTCCTATCTTGCAGTTGGCACAAGGCTCAGCCAGATAGAGTGGAAGTTTGGCAAGTGTTTTGTGGCCCTGTCTGTGAGCGAAATGTCTGTGAGGAGTCGGCTCGAAAACACCGAGAAGGACAAACTCATGATGCTAGCGTATTTTAGTCGCAGTGCCCACTACAAGAAGGGTTGTTCTTTTTGGTGTGCAAATTGCATCTGATTTATTAATATATTTCATAAATAAAAACTCAATTTTAACTTTAAAACTCGTTTTTCTCAAAACACAAATTTTGCCATTTTTTCCAATGTGCCCCTCCTTTTTCGGGCACTTCTAGTGCTCGGATATGCATGAAATTTCGCCCAAAATTTTTCCAAAGTATGACAAATGCAATTATCTACTCTAAATTGCAATATTTTATTGTGTAATAAAAATTGTATGTATACCTTTTCTAGGGTAGGTAAAATATGGGCTTTTTGGTAGGGAAATATGGGTAGGTGAAATATGGGTGAAATATGGGTGAAATACGTCTATTATTTTTCACGCGTATTACATACTTTGTATACGCTTCCTAATTAGTTATTTGCACTCTACACTTTATTCAAAGTATTATGAACTACGAATGGTAAAAAATTACAGAATTTTAGGGATGAAAAGAGGGGGGCAAAAGGGTTAAGGTTTTCAATTTGTCAGGTTTCAGAGCTAAAGTGTGTAACTTGCAAGAAAAGTAATTATATATTTGAAGTCAGCATAACAAGTTCCATAAACAGCTCAAGTTTCATTGCTCTAGGGTGAATATTAAAGAAAAAGTTAAAACACAAGCAAACATTCACGGAAGCAACAATACTGTGTATAAAAGAAGTGTTGCCTAAAATTTGTAGCTGCTAAAGTTTCACGACGTTCAACTGGCGTGCTAAAGCTGACGCCACTTGAATAAGACAACTGTTCATTTGCAAATGAATTGCATATGCGCAGTTCTGACGCATAGTTGTCCCTCTTAAAAACAAAGAAAAGGTCGAGTACCGAGGGCCACGCAAGAAAAGTAATCGCCATGCATCCATACCCATACTGAAATTATCTGGGCTTTTATGTCCCAAAACCTTGATATGATTACGAAAGAGGCCATATAGGGGAAGGCTGCTGAAATTTCGACCTTTTGGTGTTCTTTGACGTGCGCTGACATGGCACAGTACATGGCTTCTACCATTTTGCCTCCATCAATATGCGGCCACCATGGCCGGGATTCAACCCTTGACCTTCGGGTCTACAGCCGAACACCATAACAACTGATACACCCCAACGACCTTTACGCAATATTATTGATGATTTCAGCCACGTCAAGCGCAAAAATCACAGTATGAGTATAATGAGATAAACTGTAGTGGAGGCCTCGGGAAATATCGACCATCTGCTGTTCTTTAACGAGAACTGACATTGCACAGTGCTCCGGTGACTAGCTTTTCGCCTCAATCCTAATGCTGCCACCACAGCGCCTATCGCACCCACGACTCTCCGGTGAGTTTTCAAAGAAAGAAACGCAAGCCAGGCAGACGAGAAATAATATCGGGCGACAAAAAAAGAACCCTTTTTACGTGCTCTTTCCTTTAGAGTGAAAAAAAAAGTATTCTGTCAGATTTGCGTTGGTGCAGTTGAGAGGAGATCGCGTTAGAATGACGCCGTTATTCGCGCAATATTGGTTTGTTGAGTGCAAGTCGTTTCTCGCTGTTGTACGCCCGCGTGCTTTGATTTGGGTGCACGTTAAAGAACCCCAAGTGGTCGACATTTCCGGAGCCCTCCACTATGGCGTCTCTCATAATCATATGGTGGTTTTGGGACGTTAAACCTCAGATATCAATCAATCAATTTGGCTCTCGCTCCAGTGTAATATCCCGTCACGCTTTTTTTTGTAATATGAACTTTCTTTTGTAAAAAGTTAACCTCATGATAAAAATTATTGTTCTTCCTAATACTGTAAACAGTTTTTGGCTTTTATAGATACTTGAGTGAAAAGGTGAATTTAAAGAAATGTGTGAAAGAATGTTCCACGGTACGGTGGCCTTAAAATACAGCTATGGTCACTCACTTTGCGGCTACTTAATACTTGTTTTCTCTTCTTGACAATATTCACTTCTCTTTATAACACCTATACACTGGCACATATCTGCTGCGCTGATCAAGAATAAACCATTCTTTATGATGCATTTTGTTCAGACTGCTTTACCTTTTTATTTACTCAGCATCCACTATCGCCCTATATAATGTTGGGAAGTTCTTCGAAATGTACATTGATCAATCCGCTTGAAGCATGTGTTCAGCTGGATTGATAACTAAACTGCTGTGTTTCCTTAACTTTGTCAAGTAATACGCACATTCTCGATCAATATCGAGACTTCAAGAAACTGAACACAAGCAGTAATGAAACTGGAATTTTGCAATGCGCAGGTGTCAAGTAGGAATCTGAGTGACGAGAAGTATTAGTCGTTTGCTTCCTACGAAAAGAGGTCCCTCAATGGATTCATCTTGTTTATGGGCTATGTAAAATGATCTTATTCTGATATTTTGTACACCAAGGCTTGTGTATTTATGTCGCAGAAAAGTTTCTTTATCAAACTCTTCTTACCGCGCTGAACAAGGGAAACGTGGTTTATATAAAATCCGGGTAGTTCTTGAAAGTTTTGCAGAATGTTTGACGTGAAATATGATATCTTCAGCGTCAAAACTTCCCGTCTTCGCAACCTACAGCATCTTGCGTTGTCTGTTTCATCACCCGTACATGGAGCAGCATGCCAGGCGAAAAGCCAGACAAACATATCCAGCACTGCAATGAAATAGTTTCTCTTTCTCTCTTACCTCGAACATGAAGGTATCCACTTCTTCTCGTATATCATCAGTTGTCAAGGTAGAGTCAACCTCTATGCTGTAACGAAGCAGGATGTCAATGAAGGTCAACCTCTTGAACGTCCGGCCCGTAAGGTGAAAGTCTTCGTCCATTTTAGGTGTGTTGTCCTTTTTGCTGTTTGCCGCATGTATTTCGTTTATTATCTCTTCTCGTCTTTTGGAGATGACCTGTCAATAAAAGATGGTTTTCAGATAAGCACAGATCGCTTGCAATCTTCAAAACTGACAGCTTGAACTGCATTCATTCATTTATTTTCTTCAAACGCTTGGACCATTTAATGTACAACGAAGTACACGTGCACAGATCGGGTGAAAAGTGGCATCTTTTATGTTGTCAGAATGAGATTTAGAAGAAATGTCAACCAGATATTATCACGTAACACCATACACGTCCAATAACCTACCTAACTTACCAATCTGCCCACTTTTTCGCTAAGTTGGCCATACCATTGGGAATTAGGATGTGAATTCAATTCTTAGCAAGAAAGTCCTTTTGTAAGGCTACCGCAATGTTCAATAAAAATTTTATGGGGGCTATTTGGTATGGCATTATTTTTTTGCAACGCTGAATTGTGACACAATTGCAATGTCTAAATTGTGACACAAGTGCAATGTCTGCAAACTGCAACTACTTATATGCTAACAAGTCATGTCAACGTTGGTGGCATTAATAATATTTCTCTCCTTCTTTGTTTACTTTGATTGACCTTGCTCCTTTCCTAGTGCCGAGTAGCCAATCCGGTTCAGCCCAGGTTAACCTCTCTTCTCCTTCTTCTTCGCTCTCTCACTTTTTCCCCTCTATCTTTACGGTAGTGTTGTTTTGCTGCGCTAAATTAAGACTAAAATAGAAAACGAGAAGAATGATGTCCACAAACTTGCAACAGTTCATTTCCCAACAACACACGTCCTATATATACATACACATGAAAAGAGAGAGGCTGAAAAAATCATGACTACAGACATTTAAAAGATGGTGTCGGTGAACAGTGCAAATACACAGTTCAGCCTCACCTTTTTTTTTTTCAAGTATATTGTCATGATTTTTCTTGCATCTCCTCCTTTCATGTGTGCATATGTATAGGGAATATGTTGTTAGCAAATAAACACTTGCAAGTTTGCGGACAAGAGTCATTTCGTTTTCTACTTGAGTCTTAATTTAGCTCAGCAGAACAACGCTACCGCAAAGATAGAGGGGAAAATGTGAGAGAGTAAAGAAGAAGGACGTAAACGCAGACTGAACTGGATTAGCTACTCTGTACTGTGAAAAGGGCAAGGTCAATAAAAGTAAACAGAGAAGGAAAGAAATATCATTAATGCCGCCAGCGTAACAACATTTCCAGGCTTGACATCCCAGACGTGACTGAGTTTTGTGGCGAAATACGAGCAGCGTTTCTGTTGTTTAGGTGACGACCTGTATGCGCAATCCCAAGCACCCAATATCTTGCTCACAGTGAAGATATGGTGTTGTTATCAGTGTGCTCAATGCATGGATGCGTGAAAGCATGTGATAAGTGGAGCGATGGCGTCCAGCAGTTGCAGTGCATTTCGCGCTATTGGTGTCTGCATCTTTCACAGGAGCAAGCGAATAGCACTCACTAGAGGATTGATAATGGCGACTACTTGGTTTTTTCATTCACCAATTTATAAGGCATGGACAAAGTGTCGCTTACTGTAGAGAAATCAAGAGACCGAAAGGAACCAGATATAGAGAAAAGATAGAAAAAAGGAGGAAGCAAAGTGAGTATTAAAGAGAGAAAGAGGCAGAGAGAAAAAGAAATAGATGAAAGAAAATGTAAAAAGATCAACAAAGAGGAAAAAATTACAGGTAGAGAATCAAATATAATTGTGCAGATGTACCGAAACAAGTGAAAGGGAGAGCGAGCGTGGCCGCAGCTCGTTTGGTGTAGCATCGACGTGACAACTGAAAGCGAGATGTACAGCGTAACTGCTGCAGGTGGCAAGTAACCTTTTTTTCCGTTTTAATTTGTTAACATTTCAATCAGAATTTCTACGAATAACATCAACTATACTTTCTCTGGCTTGACTGTCTCTTAATTCTTACTAAGGTTTTGTTTAGCAAAGAAAAACGAGCGCGTCTCTCATAATCATATAATGGTTTTGGGACGTTAAACCCCACAAATCCATCAAAGAAAAACGAGCCCGGAAATTCCCTTCCTAAGTTCTTATATATGCAGATGTGGCGAGCATGGAAACTCGCTTACCCAAGTTTATGTTCGTATTATCACTCATACGCATCAACACCGGACGTGAACACTATGCCTTATACTTAAGTGTATTACTTATTACATCTTGTTTTTGTGTCCGCGTGAGATAATTATCCGTGTACACTTTCCTTCTTCTTTCCCTCTCGTGGTGGCAGCCTGGGCTTCGCCGCCTCCGCAGGTCTTGAGACGAAGAATAAACAGCCATACTGCCCGTACTTGTCTGACATTCCTTCCCTTTACCGCATGTTCTCTACTGACACATCACAACTTTCACTCTTTTGCACAATATAGCAGTGAATTATTGAATGATGTTATTTTAAACAAATCTACCCTTGAGAAAATTCTATTAAGGGCCAAGCACCATAATACGCCACAATATTCGTACAATCGATAAAACTATGGACAACAAAAAAGGTTGTCAAAAGACTGTTAACTAGAACAGGCAAAATAAAAAGCCACAACTCCGTAAAAACACCGATCTTTATACACCCATCAATCAAAATAATTGACAAAACGGAAGGTTAACAAGCACAAAATAAAAGGCTCTTAACCAAAACCAACTACAAGGCCACGATTCATGATCCGATGCACACTACTTTTCCCCATCATCAGGATTCACTCCACAGATATGTGTAGACTATTCTAGTTAATCCGTGCGAAAGTATATACTTGCTAACATCTTTACCAAGTCTTGTACATTCTGTACATATATCATCGTGTACATTGTCCATATTGTGATTAGTGTGTATATGTAGTGTATGTAGTCAATAGTAACATGTGTTAGGGACACCCTACGGACTTGGACACTTTTGTTTAAATGTTTCATGTATGTTGTGCTTTGTCATTTGTTTGTTACTGTGCTTGTTGTATAGACGCTCGGTCCATAAGTTCGTTGCGTCCCACGATAGAATAAACTTTTTCTAAACACATTTTATAGTGCACAAGAGCGTTTTTTATATTAAAACGATAGTCTTAGATGCCTCTCCCAACATCCTCTGAAAACTTTTCGGGCCTGTTCACATCCTCCTTTCCCCACGGGCTACATCACGCCAGGGTCCCTTTAGAAGAACTGGAAAAAAAGGCTGGTGACACTGCAGTCTGCCTGCATTTGTGTTCTCGGCTTTCTGTGTAGTTTTAGGTGTGCTTGCCCAGACAAGTCAGTGCGTGTTCGTCAAGCTGCTCCACAATATGTGTTCTTCGTTCCGTGTGTTCTCGCTAGATTTGGTGTTCTTCGTGTTCATGTTAGGGTTCTTTTTTGGCGTACACGTGTTAATGCACGAAGTGACATTCGTTGTGAATTGCATAGCATCGCAACGACTGCATGTTCGTGCTACATGGGGCGGTGTTGTGTTCCCATGGGTGCTGCGGAAACTATGACAATGGACCAAAAGTTTGCGCGTATTCATTTCCAAGTGACAACGCGCAGAATAGAGCGTGGCTTCGAGCTGTCCCACAGAAATATTTCACGCCAGTAGTGTATTCGAAGGTAAAGAATTGCTTCATCGGGTGTGTGAATGTTCTTTCCTAGCTCCAACAGCTCTAATTGTGGAAATAGAATTCTCTTCGCGTACATTATGAAAATACATCGACACAACGATGAAGAGGCATGCATTTCTCGTGAATATTGACCAATCAGTGGGGTGGATCTGTAAATTAACAGTGCTTAGATGAATATTCTTGTCATAGTATATAGTTAAAATAACTTCTATTTTGCTCTTACTGCCGTTAGCTATGCCTGGTTTGGTCTCTGTATTTTGTTTTCTGCATGTTGATGTGTGCAACCATCCTTCCATGTGAAGCGTGTTATGTAGCAAGTTATTGCGATACTTAATATTGCATTCTCATTATGTGATACAAGAAATAAAACATATGTAGTCAAAAAGAAAAATGTAGTTGTGTTTCATAAGAGATGTAGAAACCGCTTTCGAAGGTGGTTTTATATTGCCTTTTATTGCTTCCTTTTAAATGTATATTTGTAGACGCAGTACTTTCCCGGCCAATGCACCTCAAAGTTCATAGTGTTGCGTGAAAAAAAAAGGAAAAAAAATGTGTGTGTTATGTGCGTACTATTGTGCTGTTTTCTTTTTTTCATGGAGAATTTCATGCGTATACCACAGGTAAATAATTACGGAGGAACAGCTATTGGCAGGTTATATCTACGCGTACTGTATTTCAAGTGTAGGGAATTTATAACAGCCACCTTTTTTTTTTTGCGCACGCAGATTTGTGAGCCGTATACCCAAAGAGCGTTTAGAAAAGGTTCTGAAAGGCCGCTCTCTCAGTTTTCTCTGGAAGCGTGCTGCACATTCCGCGCAAGCCTGACGATTTCTTTTGCGCACGCAGATTTGTGAAGTATACACTTCGATTCAGAGGATTTTATGACGACGCTGTCTGATGAAGACGAGAGAACAGGAAGGGTAATGGAAGAAGAATGGGAGAGAGACAAGCTCAAGAGCAACGGTGTACTTTCTATCTTTGCAAACTGTCCAAAATACTTGTTTTGAAAGCTAGAACGTCGTGAATGGCCAGCGAGTAATATCGCAAGAAGAGAGAGCGCTGCTTTGCAAGAAGCTCAAAAGAAATCACTTGAGCAAAAAAGAAACAAAGCATCTTCATATACGGACTTCAAAACGAGGCTGTCGGGAATCTGCAATAGGTCGCGGGATTAAATCCCGGCTGCGGCGCCTGTATTTCCGATGGAGGCGAAAATGTTGTAGGCCCGTGGGCTCAGATTTGGGTGCACGTTAAAAAACCCCAGGTGGTCTAAATTTCCGGAGCCCTCCACTACGGTATCTCTCATAATCATATGGTGGTTTTGGGACGTTAAACCCCCCATATCAATCAATCAATCAATCAATCAATCAATCAATCAATCAATCAATCAATCAATCAGGAATCTGCAATAATAATTTTACATCTTTAAATCCATCAATCCAACACATCAATTCATCCAACAATGAAGAAAAAGTGATATTCAAACCAAGTAAAGCTTACCTGGCGTAGTATGATTTCTTCTCACGAGAGTAAAACTACATGCAGAATGCCTCACTTGTGCCCGAGAAAGCTTCTTGAATACGTGACGTAGTATCTCGCATCAATCACAGACTATTACAACACAAATAGAAACGAGCGGGGTGCTCCGGAGCACCAGAACACAGCGCCCACGCGAGCCCATAGGGTGACGTCCGCAACCATCACAAAGGCATTAGGAGTCTAGGTTGTGTTGCCTCATCAAACGCACAATTACACTGTCGACGGAATTAAAAAATATGTGATGATGCATGGCACATATTACGATAACGTAAAAATCACCAAAACTTGACGTCATCATGACCTCCCTATGACGTCACTTGACGTAGCCTAACATGATGGCGTTATCACATGGCATCTTAAAAGGGGATGAAGGATAAAATCAACTGAAAATACGATTTTTCAGTTTTCATAGCATGGTATTACACCAATACTGACGATTAGGTTCTTCAACAAGGTGACGAATTTTTACGCGCAGTGGAAAGCATTTAAAAGCGACCCCAAACGCGCCTTATCCCGTGTCTGCTTCAACTTTAAATGGCGTTTCCTCCAAACACTACATTTCACCGGGAAAGAAACAATTTCTCTGTAATCACTTCAGCTATCTAGTGCTAACTTTTGTGACTTCTTTCAAAATACTATGCGCCAATTCTCAAACCAAATAATAGTGTTGCCAGCAGAATAGTATACAAAAGTATTTCTTCAAGAAAAAAAACCCCTAAAATTGTAGTCATCAAACATCCAAATTTTTAACTAAAGAATGGTCGTCCCTACATTTATATTTTGGTTCAGACGTATGCCCTCGCACGTGTAATAACCAAAATAAATTTCACCATTTTACATGCAGAATCTTTTTCACAAAAGCTTTTTTTAATAGTAAAATTGTACCTTTTGTTTGTTGTTTTAGAATCACTTTGAACTTTCTAGCCAAAATCACAAGACATCTAGTGAAATGTCCATTCAAGCTACTAGCCACATTTCCCGGGGTTTGCCTTAAAAATAACCGAGCGATGGGCAGTAGTAGTCGCACATTTGTCTTTGTTGTATATCTTCTCTTAGCTTGGTCTAATGTGGTTCGATCACGTAGGCAATGCAAAACCTGGACAAGTGCTTACAATCTTCAAGGCAGTACAAAATCACGTTAGGCGCACACGGCTATTGAAGAGTGGTGGAGCAGAATCAATACAATGGATAAATGAATGAATGGAATGGATAAATGAACGTGCTTTAGCACGATGCGGGCCGCTCCAATGTCGGAACACAAAGACAAAGTCTCTTTGCTGCGTCACGGGCCCACTGGACTGCCCATAGCTGTTGTTCGAGTCTGGAGCTTGTAGTAGCACCCTCCGATTTGGATGGCTTGATGACTTCTCCCCGGCGTAACGCGGGGCAACGCCAGAGAATATGTTCCAAGTTAGCTATATCGCCGCAGAAGGAGCATGTGTATTGGTTGGCTGTATTTCGTGACAAATTTTGTTCAAAAGCGCGTGGTTAGGGTATGCCCCGACCTGAAGAAGCCCGAGTGTCAGAGCCTGAGGTCTGCTTAGTTTTCTGTGTGGTGAACGGTATTGTCTCTGCGCCAGGTAAAAATATTTTGTTAGTTCGTTATGCGGATGGGAGGGTCACGGTTCTCCAAAACATCAGCGCCACACCCCCCGATCGCTACGCGGTTTACTAGTCCTCGCGCAGCTTTGTGGGCTAACTCGTTGAGATTCGGCGGGACTCCCTCAATTCATTCCATATGAGCTAGGAACAAAACGAGTGTGTGTGGCTCGATGTCTTTGTCCCGAAGAGTTCGCAATGCTGGTTCCGATATTGTTATCTTGGCAAATGTCGCTGTATATTGTGGACCTCCTGTTATCCAGCAAGGTCAACGCGATCGCCCCTTCCTCTGCTATTTCAGCCATCGTGGTGCGGACCGTTGTCGAGTTAGTGATACTGCCCTCGTTGTTGAAGCTCACTGCTGCATACGCCTTCCCCTCGGGATACCGGGCCGGATCGACAAAGGAGCAGTCTCCAGCATGTTCCTGAGCCCTTCGTAGTAGAGCCTTTACCCTGACTCGTATTTTACCTTCGTTATCCTCGGGTGGACATTTTGCGGGATGGGGACAACGGTGATTTGTTCTCGCTGTTGACGAGGAATGCTGCCGAAGCGAGACATGATTTCCATCGGTGGAATCCCCAGCTCCCGCAGGATTTTTCTACCAGAACGCGTGGTGGACAACCTGGTGAACTGCGCCCTCTCCTGTGCCTCTGCGATTTCTTCCAGCGTGTTGTGCATGCCGAGACGAAACAGTCTGTCCGAGCTTGTGTGCATGGGAAGCCTCAGAACTCTCTTGATGGCCTTTCTGATTAACTTGTTGAGCTTATCACGCTTCGATCTCTGCCAGTTGTTCATGGCTTCAACGTAAGTGAAATGGCACATCACAAAGGCGTGCACTAACCTTTCGAGGTTATCTTCTCCAAGTTTCTGTTGCCTGTTGGCAACCCTTCTTATCAGTCTGAAGGCATTGCCAGTTTTTCTGGCGAGACTCGTAACCATCAGGCTATTGGAGCCGTTCGACTGGATGGTCATACCTAGACACCGGAGGGAGCCCGCCCTGGGGATTAAGCTGCTCTCAGTTGCCCTAAGAGTGATGCCAAAATTCTCTAACGGCTTCCAGCTTCTCGGTTTTGGGTCCCTGCGCTTGGGCCCGTACAGAACCAGTTCCGATTTCCGCGGCGAGCACCATAGACCACTTGGCTTTGGGTAGTTTTCCGTGACCTCAATAGCTCCCTGTGGTCCATCGCTGCCACCGGTACACCATATGGTAATGTAAGAATAAATGGTATGACGGAGAATAATAACAAGATGACTTTCCATCAAGTTGTCTGAAGTGAATGTATAAGAAACTTGATGTTTTTTTTGTCGTTTTATTTTACTTTGCCAGTGACTTGGCTTACAATATTTTCGTATTCATTCTAACTGACTATGCGTAGTGACCCCTCTGCCACGAGTGTTGTGCGGACATTCTTTGTTTCCAAAGAACGAGGAGTAAACGGAGTCATATGACAAGGTGCCAACCTCTGCTTTTAAATACTGTCAGTAATAAAAGAAAACTCAGCTCTCCCACCACACGTTTGTGAGGACAAATTCATTTTGTTTACTTGCAACTGTTTTCCTTCAAATGCTATCGAACCGAAAAGTTTTGTTACTCACATTATTACATCCCTACAAAACAAATAGCAGGTACATGCACGAACGTTTGATTACACGTTTCCTATATGTTACCTTTGTGGTGAAGGCATGAATCGCAGACACGTTCTTTTGGTATTGTCTCCCGTCTTCTGTTCTGTAGTACAGGCAGTCAAGTACAAGCCACGGAGCCTGCGACCGTCTTACCATTCGCTCAGCTACACTGTAAGGTAGAACAAAAGATCTGTTTCGAAACCTTCCTGACCTTATATTAACAAATGATTCGGAAATTGTTAGATTCCTCAAGCATCATAAAGGTAGGGACATAGTAATAATATTCGAGCTGCAGTATAATCGTTGCTCTTATACCACATATGTGCTGATGCACCGCTTGTATTCTGTCTCTTTTGAAAGTTTAACAGAACAGAGAACACTATTATGTACAAATGGGCTACGATTAAGATTCACTGACTACAGATGCATTTATCCATGCAAATGTGGTATGTGAATAAAACGGCAAAAAAAAAAGCTCTCACGAGTTAACATTTTTCACGTAGCGCTGAGATTCACCGCCATCATTCGTGTTCGTGACACCCATTATGGTTTCTGAAAAGCAAAAAAAAAAGGCGTTTCGTACATCCTTAGTCTAATCCTTATTTGAATCCTTAAATCTAAGCATCCACGCAAAAAGAGACGAACTCTTGTACCACGAGGAAGAGCAATAATACATGTCATCTGCTCTTTGCAAAGCAAGTGCGGGTACGTTTCTTTTTCTTACAAATTGTTCATTCTTGTTTACTAAAGCTTCAAAAATAACGGCGCCAACTCGACACTCGTGAAGCTCTAGGAATTTTCGTGTAGGGTGTGAACTAAGAAGCTAAAAACTTAAGGGGACCAACTCTCGGGAGGGAAAATTTAAGACACAAAGCATCACCGGCTGAGCGACGTAAAACAATTTTATAGCGCATTTGGGGAAGATTGATAGCAAGTATATCGAACGCCGCCAAAATTTCATAGACGTCTTAATTTCGGGTGCAAACTTGGCAGAAAAGCTTACAGCATTTGAGTCAAGAGCACCGTGCAACTTATCCAAGGTAAAGATTACTGTGTTCAACCAGCCCGTGAGCCGGTGCTTGTTTTGTGGATTGGTTAGCGAATATTTATATATTCTGAGTGACCCGAATCAGAACCTAACCAAAGGTAAATGGAGCACGTTGAGCTAGAACCTAAACCGGAAAACCGAATAAACATTTTTACCCTTTTACATCCTGCGCAATTAGACGAATATGAGCCACTCTCAATGATTAAAAAAGAATTTATACGCAGATATATGACTGTGACACGAGACGCCATGTAAAACAAAAAAAACTATCTGCTAAATATTAAGAGGCACGGGGGATTTAAATTGAACGCACATACCCGGCCTAGGCAACGCAACACCTTAGCTTTGAGCTACTACACAGCATATAATGAATCGGAAGCTCTAATAAGTACACACGTTGCATCTTAACCATGTGAAATTATAACAAAATAAAATCTTTTGTCCTGTGTACCATGCGTGACACAAAGAGTTACTACTGTTACATTTGTGCTCTATGACGCTTTGGTTAAGCTTGGGATGCATCACTTCAATATTTTGAAACCATGCAGTCTTTAGAACTCTTTCATAAAAATATTCATACCAAGCAAGACATCCAACGCGCATGCAGCTGCCATTGGCACCACATCAATCCAGGGCTCCTTGATTCGGTCGGTGATTCGTGCAGCTGTTAGCCTGGCCATCTTGTTCATTGGAGCGACAAAGTCCTCAAGAATTTTGAAATGAAAAGCTGGTGTCAACATTCGTCTGCGGCTCTTCCATTTTGGTCCCGCGCTGCGAATAAGAAATTATGACACAGCTATGTCAGGATATTATCAGTTACACTGATTAATTAATTAATTAATATGTAGAAATTACCGTACCATAACCACAATGATAATGACAGACGCCGTCATGGAGGGCTACGGAGATTTCGACCACCTAGGGTTCAACGTGCACCCAAATCTGAGCACACGGGGGACATTTTTGCCTCCATCGCAATTGCAGCCGCCACAGCCGGGATTTTATCCCACAACCTGCGGGTCATCAGTCGAATACCTTAGCCACTAGACCACCACGGCGGAGCTCTGCGTGGCAATAAAGCATTTCACCCCAGAGCTACGTCAGGTCTCAGGACTACTTGATAATAAAGGGCTTCATTGCAGTTGTTACGTCGGTGCTGACGTGTGCCTCAATCTTATCTCTCTGGTCTATTGCGAAAACTGACTGAAAAAAAACGATAATAGTATTGGTTAAGTCTTCAATCTTCATCAGAATGCGCCGCTCGTCATCAATCTGCTTAATTCTTTCCTTTCTTTCACTGAACTAACGTGAGAATTTGCATGACGAGCTTCTAAGAAATTCAAAGAACGTTTGACCAATAAACTTCTTTTTTAATTCCCCAGGGCTTCTTTCAACTTGGCCCCGCCACGGTGGTCTAGTGGCTAAGGTACTCGGCTGCTGACCCGCAGGTCGCGGGATCAAATCCCGGCTGTGGCGGCTGCATTTCCGATGGAGGCGGAAATGTTCTAGGCCCGTGTACTCAGATTTGGGTGCACGTTAAAGAACCCCAGGTGGTCAAAATTTCCGGAGCCCTCCACTACGGCGTCTCTCATAATCAAATGGTGGTTTTGGGACGTTAAATCCCACAAATCAATCAATTCTTTCAACTTGCCTTTTGTATCTGCCACTTCCGTTCCAGCTTTTCTTTTTCTGAGTCTTTTAATTTGCCATTTCATGTGTATAATGCTGCGTGTTATCCAAGGATTTTAATTACACGTTTTCTAATGCGAGTAAAAGCATAGCGATCAACGCAAGTCACGACGTTGCTTTTAAATTCCTGCCACAATTGTTCTACAGATTGGAAGCCAGATGCTCACTCGACGTTATACAGCTCCTCTTCCAGAAAATCTAAGATGGAAGTGTCATTGGCGTTTTTAAAGTATTTTACTTTCACCGGATGAAACTATCTATAAACTGCATGCACTAGTCTTTATGACAAAGGACAACAGTTTGTGGTCGGATATGTCATCTAAAGTGTCTAGGACGTAGTCTGTTATATTTTGCGACAAGAAAACGAGGTCTAATAATGACTTCGAGGAACCTGTAACCCTATAGTTGTCTCACGCACTATTCGTTCCAGACCATGGCAGAAATTAACTTTCAGACGTTTTTCAGAATTAATTGTTTTAGTCTCACCGGGTATAATATTTTGCCAGTCAATGTGTTGTAAGTTGAAGTCCCCGGTCATTATCAACTTCGTGTTTCTGTTAACATGGTCACTCAAAAAATCACTTAGCGAATCTAGAAACTGAGGCGTAGACACAGGTGGTCTATATATTGCGCCAATAGTGTACACTATATACTGTTCAAAGTAGTCTTACACAATACAGTTTCAGAAAAATGAAAATAAGTCATGGCAGCTGGTATGAAACTTTTAACAATGATAGCAGCACCGCTGCCTCACGTATCTCTGTCCCATCTGAAAAGCTTATACCCTGGAGGATGAATGCAATCACTGCGTATTTATACACGCAACTACGTTTCTGTCAGTAATACAACATGGGGACTATGTGCCTTTACCAGACATTCTAAATCCGTAACTTTATTGACGATGCAGCGAGCATTTTGGACAAGAATTCTTAGCTATGAGTGAGATTTACATACTGGAAATTCAGATACCGGAAAGTTGATTTCAGCTTAGTTTCAATGTTACACTACGCACTTGTTCAGTAACGACGCCCCTAAACGCATGAACAAACATCGTAATGATAAACAGTGCGCGCAAACATCATCCCATGGGCTCGAAAATTCCATTTACCTACACTCCAACAATCACACTTTGACATTCGTTTTCATGGACTCAATGAACCCTTCATATAAACTGATCGTACAAAATCTGGTCGCACTGACACAAGTGTACATATTAAATAATTTCGCCCCGACTTTACATTCCACAAATCAATAAAAATTGACCCGTGTTAAAATGGTTGCCAAAACACCAGAATTATTTGTAATATATCTTTCTTTTTGTCGAAATAGTTACATTTGTCACGATGACGTACAGGACCGCAAAGAGACTGCACATTTACGACAGCTGATTAGTTGCCACCATGACTCAGAGAATACTAGTCGGCGAATTCTGTAGAACCAGAAGTTACAGAAGACCTTAATGGGCTTCTTAACTATTTGAATATAATGCGTCAAATAAAAAAATCTCATTTCTTTTTAAACTCTACAAAATAGAGTTTAACTCGACTCTCCATTTTTCTCCATCTTTGTAACAGAACCATTAGGTCCCCCCCCACAGGCTTCCTTAGTTTAGGACACTTAATCTGCAGTTACCCGTTTTACTAAGGCGAAAGTCTCATCAAACACAAAGTATTTTCGTCGGCGTCGACATCGATCAACACGAGTGATGCAAGAAATCGTTGCGTGATGAGGTCACAAGACGCGGCCTCACTATGATTTTGTCATCACGTCATGACAGATGACGGCGTCGTCACATCACAACGTCGCTTGGTCGAAAGTGCGCTGATTGGGGTTTCCACGAATGCACACACGCACACGCGCATGAAGCGGGCTGCTTTGCCAACAATAAATAATGAAAATGGGTGTTTCTCAAAGCCGTAACAAGTTCCCGCCCCCCCCCCTCCCCGAAATTCTCAGCTACGGGTCTGGCACGAGGGCACAAACTTAATAGCGTTTCGCACAGGTCATATGCTGAACACTGTACATAGCAATTTAATATGTTTACTCTCTCGAGTTACTGAACATTATTACCATACCTCTCACTGAAATAATGCATGCGTTCTGTATAAAAAAGATAGAGCCACGTACCTTGTCAAAAGTCCGGTTCTCAGCCAGGAATGCAGGAGTTCGTAATGAATAGACTTCGACTGAGTGTGGCGGTTATTTAAAAACACCTGTAAAAAGTACAACATTGGGTTCTAAGCAGTCTTTTAAATCTGTTTCCCAGCCTAATAACATTATATTTTGAAAGAATCGCTTTAGTTGTTCTAGAAAATGAATAATCGTTTAGGTCCTTTATTTGAAATTATTAACTACTGATTAGCCGACAAAAACGTGCACAACTCTAGTGAATCTTGTCTTGAAAAATAACGGCAAACAACGGATAACAATAGAACCCGTTACAAGACTTATGATGGTAAAGGTTCTTCATAAAATTTGCATATTTTTTCCAAGTAACCGAATCAATGGTTATAAGCTATAACGCATGCACCAAAATAGTGTTGATGTTGATCAATCGATTATCGTTGCGTGTTCTGAAATCAGGGGTGGCACCAGGATTCTTCCCTGGAGGGGTCCCCACGACAAGTGAGTTTTAAGGAGTAGGGGGGATGAGTCTTTCTGGAGATACGTCTGGTAACCGCTACAAACTTATAAGGTACTATGTGCGCTTTGTTGATGCGACATAGCCCAGCACTTTGCGGTGGGTGGGCAGCATCAAGCGACAAACTCTTTGCGCCATTCGCATTGTGTGATATTGGTTATTTTATTCTTCAGCCACGCTATATCGGACGGGTTATTGGTATCCTTCTTTCCCGATATGACGCGTCTATAGGGTCTTCTTGCCAATGAGTTTCAAGCATCAGCGTCACTTTGTGGTAAAATACTCGACTGCTCCTCAGAGGGCACAGGTTCAAATGGGTATCTTTTTTTCCTAATGTTATTATTCATGTCTAGGGGTTGCGCTACGAACGGCTACGCAACGCTGCTAAACTCAGTAATGAGAACGGGCCCTTTATAGCCGATAATACTGATATCTGGGGTTTTGCGTCCAAGAAGCACGATATGATAATGAGAGACACTGTAGTGGAGGGCTGTGCAAATTCTGGTCTTCTGGTGTTCTTTAAGGTCCACTGACATCGCCCAGTACACTCTACTATTGCGCCTCCATGCAAATGTGACTACCATGGCTTCGACCAAATTCGCGACGTTCTAATCAACAACCGAACACTATAACTAATGATACACTTCGCTGCACGCGCCCAAGAGCTGTGCTCTAAACAAAGTTTCCACTTCGTGACTTGATGGCTTCGTGCCTTCGTAAAACAGCAGGAGTTCAACAATACACAATAAAATTTTACTGAGCAAATGAGTGTACAAATACTCGCCACTTACCCGGGTAACTTATTGGTAGTGGTGACTTTATTAAGGAACTTCACCAAATCTGACAACCACCGTTGTGGAGAGACGTTTAAAAGACATAGAGCTGAAACTCAATTGAATGAAGTGGTGGGAACAGACGATTTATTTCGCTAAATTAGGAATTTCGTATATTCAAGAAAGCAATCTTTTGATCCTTCGAAATATAAAATTCTGACGTACCGGCTCTCCTAGCGTAGGTCGGGAATTTCGTACAATAGGGTTTTGTTAGATGGAATTTTAGCTGTAACATTGTTGCCATGTACTACGCAACGCTTGTTTTTTTTTTTGTCACTTTAACGCATTCATTGGTTATAAAAGCAAGTACAAGAAAGTTTTACATATATTAAGACGTGAGGTCGGCTCATCGCTAGCACTACTACTGGTGGTTGTCACGTTCTATTGCAATACAAACGCTGTTCAGTATCTGCAAGAGTACATTTATGCTAGTGAACCGCAGACTGTGGATACGTGTGGTTGTCACGTTCTATTGCAATACAAACGCTGTTCAGTATCTGCAAGAGTACATTTATGCTAGTGAACCGCAGACTGTGGATACGTATCAGCTGCATGTGCGTGTCTGCGTGCTTTAGCAAAGATTCTTCCATATATTGCGCAAGACAAGGTAGGTGAATAAAAGACTGAAAGAGTCTATTTTTAGTGAACATGAAACGTTTGCTACTTTGTTGCGTTATTTCGTAGAGAACGAAGCAAGTGACCGGCGCGATGCGGCAGGTGTCTGACTCGACGTAAATATGCTTTCTTTCATATCCCCCCGCTGTGATGTAAATTGCCCTGCCATGGTGGTCTAGTGGCTACGGCACTAGGCTGCGGACCCGCAGGTCGCGGCTGCAGCGGCTGCATTTTTGATGGAGGCGAAAATGCTGTAGGCCCGTGTGCCCACATTTGGGTGCACGTTAATGAACTTTAGGTGGTTGAAATTTCCAAAGCCTTCCACTGCAGTGTCACTCATAATCATATGGTGGTTTTGGGAAGTTTAATGCCACATATCAATCAAATCATGTGAAGTAAACTGTGCATCCTGCACTGAGCCCTTTGAGTATGTAGTTTCCATGCAACAAAATTGTGAGACACACATCGCAAAAAAATATTTTTTACAAAAAAAACCGATTAGACGTGTCTCAGTGTTGTTGTGCAGTTGATCAGGAAAAATATGCCAGGTACGCTGACGATATGCAGCCGGAAGCAACGCCAGCAATCAAGAGCGACTGCAAGTGCGTGTTATCTGAGCTCCGACTTCTGTGCAACTGCTCGGTAGTGCGGTTTTTCCACTTTTCACTACAAGGCATCTTTCGCCGTAGTTTGTGCTGGTTTGTACTTATAGAGGCGACATTACACCGCCATAGTGCCCCAGTGGCACCGAAAGCTCTGTGTGAGGAACAAAGGGAGTTTCATCTCAATATATAGAAGAAAAACGCATGATAGCTATAGCTCCCCTACTGTCAAACCCGAGGAAGTGGTTCTTACAGGTAGACAGCTTTTCCCGTCCGTAGAGTTCCCACTTTTCTGCTTACTAAAAATTCAGTGACTCGAATGCTTGAAGTAAGCATATAGGGTTTTCCCAGCACGAGTAGAATCTTCTCAGGCTGATTTGTGAATTTGGTGTGTGGCATGTGCGCCACTTTTTCCTGCGTTTTATTGACTTCGTGCTTATTACGGCAGATGAGATACGCGTCGCCTACAGCGAGTTCCATCAGGTCACTGCCTCCATAAGATGTAGTCACGTAGCGATGAAGTGCCGTGTCGTCCCAGTGCCGACGCTGGGGACAGTGGCGCAGGGGGAGGGGCATTTGCTCGCTCAGCAAGGTTGTGGTGCCCTTTCTTGCGCCCCGCCAGCGTACGTAATGAAAAGTTCGTTTACAATTACAACAAGAAGTTTATTTTTTCTTACAGAATTTACAGCAACTCTCCTGAGACGTGATTATTGGTCCGTGGCTCAATAGTCTCTCCCCCTGGTCTCCGAGTTTTCCCCACTACAGTCACTCTCTCACCCTTGTAGTGTTTCTCTTTTGTGTCAATTTGCCCTTGTTGAACATCACAGGCGCAGTCCAGACGCCTTTCTAGGAAAGCCCCGCAACCCCATCGCGCCGTTTGTGCCGAGGAGTGCGCGGGTGGTGTGGTGTACGATTACGTCGGTAGGAGAGGAGGATTGCGTGTCTGTAGGGAGGCTGGGAGAGCCTCCCGTAACACCCTGTGCATAGCGGACCTTCGTCCACACTCTGAGATACTTCATGTTTTAGGTTCGTGAGCTCGCGTCAGGCTACCGGAGATACTTTAGAGCGTCAGCGCGATGTTCCCGAAACGCTTTAGAGATTTTAAGTTATTTATTGCGATTACCTTTTCGATTTTCGGGTAATTATAGTATTTAGACTTTGTTCGGTTCATTTTCATCTTGGTGTTTAGCATCGCTAGGTTTGTTGTGGCCTGTATTGAGTAGTTTACTAGGAGTGTGATCACGCCACGTAAAAAAGGATGAATGACAAGCTGGGGCCCTAAAGTGCTCCTCACTTGAAAGAAAGTTCTAAATGGAGCCCAACTAACTGTATATGTTTTGAGACAACGTGGTACACATAGCTTAGTGATAGTCAATAAAGCCATTCAACTAGTTGAGGGTGAAAAAAGTTGTAAGTTGTTATAAACAGCTATCCATTCGGCGCGACGGGGAGAGTTCATTTAAGTAAACGATAGGAGGGGCAACTGGTGATTCATGTCGAGGCATACTGCGCGGAAAAAAAAACGAGGACGACAAGCAGACAGGGTCTGCTTCAGACTATCAAGAAAAAGATGGGTGGATCAACGTCGAGAGCACTCGCTCCTCACTTCGGCTCTGGCGAATTTCGGTCCTCGCACCAGTTTGTTTGACCCTATCCAGATAATTTTTTTCACGGGTAGCTAAAGCACGCCATCTGGATTACGTCGATACACGCTTTATTGCGAAACTCTTCTAGCGGGACCCGGGAGAGCTTTCGAAAGCGTTTGGCCACGCCGTACACTAAGCTAGGCCTGTCAGGCTTAGCTCAAGTGTGGCTTCGTGGACGCCAGCTAATTGACATAGGGTTACCGCCCGGCCGCTCACCATTGCATCGTCGCCCATTTTCTAGCTGTTCATCGTTATGGAGAACATTGCCGAAGGACATGAAGTGACCTCCGAAAAACTATCCGACGAATCCTGGAAATCACCAAGCATCCGCGCCCAAGAGCAACGCCGAACAGGCTTGCACCTTCCGACCTCGCCCCCTTATCTAAGCCAACCACTACACCGATTTCCCAGCCGTCATCATCGCCCCCTTCGAAGCGAGCAACAGGCTCGCCTCCACAGCCCCACCGCCATGCTCCGCTTCCTCGTCTCCCGGCTGATACGATTCACGTGGTTGGCCACCCAAAAAGCCCTGTTGAACTTACCAAGCTCGAGCTTTGGCAAGTAGCATGCCTGCAGGACCTTCCGCCCGCATCTCGCGACATGGTGCGGATCCATCCTGTCAATAACACTTTTACGCTCAGCGTCGCGGGCTCGACTCGTGCTCAAGCCTACCTCCGCATCACCTCTCTCACCGTTTCCTTCCGGCCACACTTTTAGAGTCCACCTCTACGCCCCCCCCCCCCCCCACCCGCCAGACGATGCCCTAAAGGACATGCTTTGTGACGCCTACTTCACGGACCAAGCCATTCTTGACGACCTCCGGGCAAGCAATCCTATCCTCTCGGTTGTGGGCGGCCACCGAATCGACAAGTGCCC